GGGTCAGGGCTACCAGCATTTCTCTCCCTGTTTCCCACATGAAACATTTACCCCATGAGCCACATTAATGATGCAAGCAGAATCACTGCTGTGCCAGGTGTACCATGCACAGCTTCAGGAACTATTTCAGCTTTTGTTGAATGGGACATGGTACAAGCAGGTGGGTCAAACACACACTGAAGGCAAGAAAAGTGCCTGGGAGGGTACAAGCTCAGTACTGGAGTTGTTCGAGGTAAATACCTGACCCAAGTTGTTAAGAGGGGCCAAAAGTTCAAGATGCTATTTTCTCTCAGAGCACAGCTGCAGTGCCTTTGATTATTCTCTCCTTTTGAATCAGGCGCAAGGGCAGCGTGAGCGGTACAGCAGTAAGTGATATGGGTTCGTCCAGCCTGGCCCTGATCCCAACCCTTCCTTGCTCCATGGCCCAGTCAGGTGCTCTGGCGTGGGCTGCATGTTCCCCGTGGGCACAGAGGCTGTTTGCCCATCTGGGGGGTGCAGGGGTGCCCCTGCCCGAGCAGGGTCAGCGGGTGCAGGGGCGCGGGCAGACGCCGTACTTACAGCACGCAGAGCGCGTACGCCGAGGCAATGGACTCGCTGGCCCGCACAAGGAAGCTGCCATCCTTGCCTACTTTGGAGAGCAGGTCTTCAGCCCTGGAGCGAGTGATGTTGCCGTGGTACCAGCACTGATCCATCGCTGGAGCTGGAGGAAACCCGAATTCCAGTCCAGGAGCTGCCAGAGCTGCCTGTGTGTCTGTGTGTAACGATCAGCCAGCTTCAGCTCACCAGCTTCCTGTTTCAATAGTACAGAGAGGGAAAGGAAACTCAGCCACGGACAACTTCCTCAACTCAAACAGCTCAGAGAGTGAGCGTGACATGTTCCTGCAGCCCCCGCTCTCCTCTTCATGCCGCAGCTGAAGTGAGTTGCAAGCCCATGCTCCCTGCCTTTCCCGCCCCCTTCATGTCAGAAAGTCCCAGCTGGGCATCTCTTCTGCTCCCTCACAGATTCAGTCCCCCAGGCTTTGGTGGCCTGCTGTTCCATTTACGATCTCTTGTCAGACCCTGTGAGTTTTCATCTTTTTCCGTCTGTCTGTCCTACCCGTTACAGGGCTCCAAGGGCAATAAATAAATCCCTGGTCAGAAACACAGTGTGCATTAGGATACCCAGCACTGACTGCCCCATTCCTGCCTTGACTAGTCCTCATAGGTAGTTAGATGTGAGGAGGGGACTTCAAAGAACTGAACAGAATAAAATTATGACTGCACGTTTCCATGCACAGCAGACTGAGAGGCTGATCTGCACTGGGGATTTGTGACCAAAGCTCCCTGTCAGCTACTGTGAGATGAATTCAAAGATCTTTCCTACTCTAAGTCCCCAAAGGTGGGATGGAGCAAAGCTGTGTCTGGCAACCTGCGTCAGAGAGGGAAGAACTGGAGTTTTCACTTCCCTTTTCTTGGTGTGTACATCTGTCCCTCAGCTGTGCTGAGTGGCTGCTCAGTGCTGCATCTCCAAGGCACAGCACAGGGGACACGTTTGCAGCAAGCCAGGACATTGCTACAGGGGCACTGCCTGTGAGGGAAAATTGGTTGCTTTGTCTGTTCCTCCAATCACTCTGCCTTGGAAGGCAGCATTTCTGCACATCCACATTTGAGCTATACCTAAAAGCAGCAGCTGAGCTCAGACTCTGACTTGCAAGTTCCCAGGTAAGACATAGATCCTGCTAACCCTATGCAACCCTTGCTTCACAGAACCAGGAGAAGTACTAGAACCACAGTACCTGGATCATGGACAGCATGGACAGCAAGGCAGGAGAGAACAGACTGTCACTGCATAGGGAGAGGCTAGAATTTGTGGGTATGGAGAGAGAGTGAACCAGCACAACCCAGCATTCATTCCTGCAGGCCTTCCTGGTGCTTTCAGTTCTCCAGGCACCTGCCCTGCAGTGTCCAGCTTAACCTCTGCCTCTGAGATGAGGCTGTGGGCACCAGCAGCTCAGAGCTGTGTGACCAGAACAGCGCCCTGCTAAACGAGCAGAACTGCACCGTGCAGGGCTTCCTGACCACGCTGAGCAAGCACTGTCTGCAGACCAAAATTAGCTCAGCTGGACCCGACCTTCAGCTTAGCCCAGATCCACACAGGGCTCCAGGAGACAAACTGCCATGGATTCAGGAGCCTAAATGCAGTCAGATGCTGATTGCCATGAAGTGGCTGTGCATGGGCAGTGGCTGTAAGCTACAGAGGGGTTACAAACCCTGTTCACCAGGAGGAGTGTCTGCACATGGCAAAGGAACCGTGCAGCTCCTCCTCCCTGCCTGCCCACAGACCACTGCTAACCTCACCTGCACCAACTGCCTGGGATTTCTGGCACCTCCAGTAGCTTCTCTGGAGCACAGTTGCAGCAGGAGGCAGAACAGCTCTGAATGTTAAACCACAGCTTGGCCTCACAGTGCTCTCCATGCAATGGACACATATCTGGATGCAGAGTGGACAGAGCTGCTGATCACCCCAGGAGTTTTGCTGGAATGAAACTGTGTTTGGAAAGCTTCTCCTGATCTTCTGCAAGCTAAACAAGGTAGCAGGTACAACTCCTGAGTAGACATCTAATTAGCTGTTAGACAGACTACTTAGGTGTATACTTAATTCCTATCCACTCCTCCACCAACTTCAGTTTTTAGCTGCTATTTCCTTCAAATCCCTTGTCCAGCCACACACAACTCCTTTGAGACATAAACAAGGCAAAGGGATCCAAATACATGTGATGATTGTGGCAATTGGATGTGCAGGCTGGTTTCTGTGAGTATTTCTTAGTAGTAAAAGAAAGCAGAATACAGCTCCAGCTGCTCAAAAGGTGAATCCAAATCCCCTAACATAAACAGCTCTGTGGTCCCTAATGGCTCGTTAGCTTGAAATAATACCCTATCTCTCAGACACTGCAATAAACTGGTTTTGCTACAGATGTAGCAGTATTGTACCAGCTGGCTGTCAACTCACCAGCCTGTCCAGAACCAGTAAATAAATACTGTCTGTGGCACCATTCAAGATGTACACTGGTCACACAACCCCCCACGTATAGCCAGACTGTCCACTCTGCATCATCATGGGAGCTGCCAGGCATGACCAGATAAAAACTTCTTAAATATGCATTTCCATGTCATGAAACAAAAGTATTCCATAGTACCTGACGAGGAGGTTAAATCTATAGGACAGCAGGTAGCTTTGCTGAGGTCTAAATATACCAGTACCTCATTAGGCATCACTGACAGGTTATTGGCCACAAAGGTGCATTTAGGCTCTGGCCTACATCTGAAGAGCACATGAGTAATACCCACAAAGTACTGGCTACCTGAGCCACCCTGCTACGCCAGCCCAGCATGTTACTGACCTGCTGCTTGGGAAGGGCTTGGCAAATTACAGGTTATCTGTGAAGGTCATGAGATCTCATTACTCTCTTGGTACCTGCAGCCTCCAGGTGTCCTGAAACAAATTCAGAAAGTGAGAAAAATCAGGGCCCCTTCTCCCACCACCCCTGAAAGCTGCCAGCAGTAAAAGTACAGGGTAGGGGCACTGAGCAAACAGGGACCTGCAGACCTGAGCAGTGACAGTGCCAAGGATCCTATGGGATTTGCTAGTGTTTCTCCAAGGGGATGTGTTCTGAGAGCACTCTGGAAAGCAGGTGTTATTCTGCACCAATAGAGCAAACAAACATATTTTCCTTGCAGCCATTCCACACGTGCACACACACAGGATACAGCACCCAGCAAACAAGCACAGACTGGTTCATAAAGCAGAATTTTGTCCAGAGGCATAGGTAACACTTCCCTAGCTCCACCTGCTCTGACGTGTCTCCCTTGGTACCCATTCATTTCTGGTGGGTCCCTTGTCTGCTCTCTGTATAAAGCCTCCTTTCAAACCACACCAGAGCCTCAGAAACAGTGTCTCCCTAACCAAAACTAGAACGGTTTCCTTCAGAAATCTGCTGAAAATCTGCCTATGTTGGAAAGCCTTCCAGTTTGAGTGTTCTCATGCTGCTCTGGGCTTGGTCAGGTCCCCTCCCTCTGACACAGGTGCTTTTTTACTGGAAGGGGGGCAATGTTATTTGTTTGACATACTGCCTCATATGCCAGTAATACTCTAATAAAAAAACATGGGGTTGCCAGCGACAGAAGCAGTAGCTGCATGGATCATTCTTGTGTTAGAAAGACCAGCAAGCATCTCCCCTCCTGACTCTAAATTGGGAGCTCCCTCTGCAGACCTGTCCTGATCCTGCAGTTCCAATAGAGGCAAAATGCCATTTCGGCCACTTGTCCTGTCCCCAGACGTGGAAGGGTCCTGGTGTCCTCCATGACCCCTACTGCCACTGCCCAGGGAGAGGGAGCAGCTAGAGCACACGAGGCTCTGGTTTTCTTACAGAGAAACTGCAGCTTGTCAGTGCAGTGTGAGCAAAAGGGCGAGTAAGCAAGGACACAGCATGGGAAGTAAGGAGAAGGTTCAGTTTGACAGAAGTCCCTGGGGTGCCTGGGAATTCAGCAAGGCAACCCCAAACGAACTGCAGAAGTGGGCAAGGAATATCCCCAGAGCAAGACATCACACAGCCTTGCTGAAATAAGGAGCCAGCAAGCCCTGAAAGTCAGAGGTGCCACATTCCTACACTGTCTGTGAGAAGCAGTACTCCTAAGCAGAGCCAAAGCAGTGTCCCGAAGAAGGTGACACCAGATATAGGGCAGTAAGCCCAGTGCCCTCTCTAGAACTTTCTCCACAACTTACTAAATACCACTCACCATAAAACTGCTGCCATCTGTTCCCAGGCAGTCCCTGGGAACGCTGACAGCAGTGTTACATTGATCCAGTCTATCAGAGACCTCAAGGCGAGAAGCCCCACACAAAGGTCACACTTGGTTTGGGCACGGGATGTGTAAAAAGGCAGCCAAAGGGAAAGGAAAAAAGGGAGAACAGACAATAGAAAACAAACCCAAACACGTTAAGTTTTATTACATTTAATAGACTTCATAATCTACAGACGCCTCAAGCCAACACCAAACTAAGTGTGCAGCAGGAGTACAAAAAACCTCCTGCTCAAAGATGAGAAGTGACAGTGAAAAGTATCAGCAAAGGTGGTGTTTGGAGGGACGTTGATGGAAACGCTTGAGACTCAGAGCTCTGAGGGAAAGGCTTGAGACTCAGAGCTCT